GCGCTGTGAAAATGCCACTGGGAAAGAGGAAGCCGTGGGCACAACAGCAGCGCAAAGTAAAATCTCTTACCTACATAGGCAACGCATATGCCTTGAAGGCAGGATTATGCACTTCATTTTCAATGGGAGTGCCTATTGTTTCAGATATACAGCTCCATAAAGAATTTCATGGTTCCTTACAGGCAGCTTTAATGAAGGCGCACAATTACTCACAGTCCAGAATGAGGCAAGCTGGTTTTACACATTCTGTGCTCAACTAATTGTGTCAAGCACCTGCAATTAATCTGAATAGTTTGGAGAAGTAGCGCATCTTTAAGTGTTTGTGCTACAACATCCTAGTAACATCAGATAGAGAAAATATCGTGGGCTGTCGGTTTGTGTCCAGAAGGTTCATGCCAGAACTTTAACAAATTCATCCAATATGTTTCAAAGGATAAACATAAGAGGTGGTAGTTTCATGCTCCTCTAAAGTATCAGTCTGAGGCTTCACATGTAAGAATCCCAGATCTGTACAGAAAGTCAACTAGTGCAACTGAATTCGAGCTCACTCTCACCACATCTGCTAGGTTGTAAAGAACATGTTTTAGCACCACCGTTCACCACCCTCATATTGATGTTTTGCCCTACCATGGCTCACAATCTCAGAACTCCACAATAGTTTAAAGTAAGAACTTGTTTCAACAATGTTATGACAAGGGCTTAATGTTGGACAATTCCACTGTGGATAGGGAAGCTGAGGCAGAGAGAGATCGAGGATTTGCATACATTCCAGGGCACTGCTAAGTAAACCCAAGTTAATAAAGGCAAACAATTAATCCCTCCGATAGGAGCAGCGTAGCCACACTCCTAAGGAGATCAGCTTGGGCTTACTTAGCCTTGAGAGTACTGCGCTAAGACCACTTGCATTATCTGAAACAGCTCATTTAAAATGAGATCTTGCCTCTCCAACTACATTGCAGGTAGACATAACAAAAATTATTTGCTCCAGTTATTACTGCATATCTGTGACAAAGCTGAGAACAAAATCATGACTGCTTGACCCCAGTAGCTCAGTCTGACCAATAACTGTCCCCCATTCAACCTGAGTTCCCACATCAGTGGCGAAGACTTCGGAAATCTCAGCGTTTTATCTGTCCAGAAAAAAAAGGCATAACACATGCATAAAAACTTGCAAACTTATGTTTTAAAGGGCCCAGATTCTTCTCAGTTATCCAGAAACAAACCTGCTGGTTCTATAGGACAGCAGAAGTATGACACTAGATTTTAAGGACTTCTTAAAATGGAAAGGGTCCTTAGAGATTGAAGTACGTACAGGATAACACATTTTGCTGTTGCGATTTCACAGAGCTAATCCAAGCATCTAAAGAAAAATATGCTTAGCAAAACTGACAATGGGGTAGAATCCACTTCTAAAACATGCTGAATAACACCTCGATCCCCCAGTGAATCACAACAGGAGCATTCACAGAACCACCACTGCTTGGTACAAGAATGGCTGTCAATCTTGTTCTGAAATTTTTGGTGCACCAATGGCCTCTGTGCTTTCTCCTATATTCTCCCAAGCAATTTCACACCCTGCCTGCGCTCCTTTTATTGGGATCAGCACTACTGAAGCTGTAAAATTGAATAGGTACCTTCTTTCTGACTCTCTGCTATGCCCAAATTCACCACTTAATCCTACCTGGCCTCTCTCAGCTCTCAGTCATATCCTAAATGCTCGTTACTAGCATTTGCAATTCAAAGTGAACGCAATTAACTATTTGAGGTACTTCCCACTGCTTTACTGCAAGGATGGAATAAATCAGAGAAGCCTTAAGAACAATACTGCCACACACCTCAGTGAATGCCATCACTTCGCTAAGCTGAAGCGGAAAGTTTAACTTGTTTTTATTTAACTCTATTGGTTTCAATATTTGCTCTTGAAGACCTGTAGATTGTCTTGCATTTCCAAGTAACACTGGGTAACACATTGTTTTACCAAAAAGATACAAAAAGAGCACAGGGGGGATATTTAGAGAACTATGCTGATGCCTTCTCAGTGGAGATTGCCCAAGACAGAGTCAAGACATGCTGCTGATATAACGTACATTACACGCTACGACGGCTGCTCCTGTCCTATTGCTAAAGGGAGAGGATTTCACTCTCCACTGCCATCTGCTAGGTAAGATGACTAAAATATATCTTAACCAATAGACAAAAGATATTTTTCCCCCTGCTGGGAGAAATATGCAAAGAAAGTCTCAGTTTTTGAATAAAAAATAAATTTTTAGATTGATTTTTCAAAACTTGCCTTTAATTCTTAAAGCACAATTTATTGAGATGACTCACAATGTCATTGTCCTAGTATTGTATGAAATATATGTATTTGCAGACCATTAGGCATTTGCATTTAAATCCCGCTAGAGACACACATGCTGGTTTTTATAATATAAATCCATAACACAGTAATAAAGAGCAGGCAATTTTCTACACAAAACTGGAGAAGTATATAACTCTTTGTTATATTGCCAGATGTAAACCTCTGCCTATCTCAACGCAAGAGCTCTGCATGAACAACAGGCCATTAAATACGGGTTAGGAGGAGTTAATGACACATCTGATGTAAAGAACAGCATTTCTGCAGACTTCCACTGCTCTGTTCTCACCAGCTCCTGGACAAAGAGCCATTCACTACCCAGCCTTGTATGAATGCTTTGCATACAAAAAGAGACATGAGAAACAAAAGGATCCTGTAGCCCACAGAACTTTTCAGCCTTGCTTCGTGTTTGGAAAGTTATAGACTCCACTCAAAGGGACTGACTAAGCAAATGAGACCAGAATGTAATGGGTAGTACTGAATATTTAAATACTGAAAAATAGAGTAGAAAACACACCCCTGCATCTCTGTTGAGGAGGAAAGGGAAGAAGAGGGAGGAAAATACTCTTTGAATGACTCGGAAATAATAAGGAAAGGTGGTTCTCTGCAAAAGCCCCGAACAAATCCCTAAATAAGACTTATAAGCATTGAAACAAGTGACTGGAAGCACAGATACTCAGCAAGAATTGTAAGGTGTTTTGAATTATACACACGTAGAATCATGGAAATTAAGTTCCTTCTTCAGTTGAGTAGACAAGCCACCTGGTATACAGGAAAACAACAGAGGAAAGAATAGATGCTACAGCAACAACAGTGAGCCAAATGCTATATAAAGCTACTGTCCTAAAAGTGTAGTCTGCTATGAAGGACCCATTCCTTCAATGTCCCCTCTCTGCCTTTATTTTCTTCTCCATTTACCCACTATCGAGCCATTCTCCAGAAGAAGAAATGAAATGAAAATATAAAACTAACTTGCTATTTGCTGTCATTATCCAGCTCTGGCTCTCCCATCAAACAGTATCCATTCCCTTCTCTGTAAACTCCTTGAGATAGGAACCAGTTGCTACTTTATATGCAACTGTGCCAAGCACAGCATGGCCCTGCTTTTAAGCGCTGTTGCAAGGAACACGATTACCAGGACAAAATAAAATACGTAAGAGAGGACCTTGGCCTGGTTCTGCTCTCATCTGGACAGCTAAACATCTTTGGCTTCCATCACACTTGTGAGCATTTAATTCCACAGCGCACCCAGCAACACTGGGGATACCGAAGGATCTCTGCATAGGCATCATGCTGTACCCCCACACCCAGGGGCAGGAGGAGCTGGTCTCTGTTTCCTCTCTCCATGAACTTCCATTGAGGGTTTTCACATCAAAATGCCAACAAGATTTTTTTTTCTTTTAAATCTGCCTGCCCACTTCTACCAAACAAAGAGAAAATATCAGAACATATAGTGTTAAAGACTTGGCAGGTTTTCAAAGCTGTCTGCTGCATTTAGATGCCAAACTTCCATGAATACTAAAGGGATGCGGATGTCCAATTACTCTTAAATAGCTTTGAAAATACAAGTCATCCCCCTCACTTTTCAACATACCAGCTTATGCCCAAGATTTTGTTTAGTTTGACTTCTACTCTATGTTAAAAGAAAACCTTTATAGGCTGAATCCAGCCAAAAGAATGAATAGGGCTGCAGGCTCAAATTTAATAAAAAGCAAAAAAAACTCCAAGAAATGTTAAAAGTTACTCAGAAAGCAAACAGCACATCTCTGATTTTACTAAAGATAGAAGATATCAAAGGGCCCAATGTAAAGTCCATTACAATAGGTAGCATAGCACTAAAAATCAAATAACTATCTTCTGACTGAAACATGGGGAATTGCATTGATCTTAAAATAGTCTGAATTGTACATTAACAATTTAAACCTTTTCATACGCCTTGTTTGATACTTTGTGTGACTCCACTCCCTGCACTGGCTGTATCGTAGGGCAGAAACTGCCTTTAGAAACGTTCCTCTCTGCCCCGTTGGTTTGTGCATTTCTGTGATGACAATACCGGCACGGGCTGT